AATACACCTAATTAGTAGCGAATTTTTATTGATTTTTGGCGACTTGGGTCAGCTAGGTTTATGGACGTCCCATTTTCCCAAATTTTATCATTAACGTATATTTTCCTAAAGAATTATTTGAAACATCAATTTTGAATAAATTAGCTTCAGTATTTACTGATTTATCGAAAATTTCGGGAGAGGGTTTTCTCCGATTTTAAAAAATTTCAGTTGTTGTTCTAGCGGCTACAATTTCAGCCGTTTGGTATATTGTACTAGTGCCAACAACTGTGCCAGGTTTGGGAGAAATTAATGGAGTGGTTATTAAGATATATATATATATGTATATATATAAGTGGTTATAAGATATATATATATTAAGATAGTAATCATAACTGGGCGTGGCTGCGCCCACTTTCCAAAAATTTATAACATTCTTATTTTTCGTAAAAAAATTATTGTAAATTTCAATTTTGAGTGAAAGAGCTCCAGAAAACTACCGTTATATGGGAGGTAGGCGTGGTTATTGTACGCTTTTGGCCATTCTCAATACCACCCGTCCTATGCCGAAAAGAAGTACACATACCAAGTTTCGTTGGGATATCGCAACTTTTACTAGAGTTATCGGGAGCACAGACGGACGGACGGACGGACAGACAGTCACCGCTTAATCGATCTCTTTTTTTCATTCTGATCATTTATGAATAAATTTGTCTATATCTATCTCTATTCGATTAATGTATGTCGCTTCAAAATTCAATAATTATTCTAGTTTCTACTTGTAGTAGTAACATATTAAATAAAAATGTTTAATAAATAAAAATTGATTTAAAATACCTACTTTTGGACTTTAAAAAGTGCTTTAGATAGTCATCATATTCATAGCTAACAATAGCTGCTGCGCAATTTTCCAAATTGAATTCCTCAAATATTTCGTCGATGGACGTGAACTTGTTGTATTCAACAGTGCAGTACAACTGATTTAAAAGATTGTATTCTGGTGCGTCCGTAGTATAGTTGAAATAAATGGACAAAAAATGCTTATTTTCAACGTTCTTCCAAATTTCAAAGCCCAAGGAAAAGGGTTTAACTTGTGAGCGCATTTTTATTTGGCTTGCCAGTGTGGTCAGTTTATCGCTATGTAATTCGCGAATAAGTGCCTCAATCTGTAAATAGAATCAAAAATATATTGTTATTTTGTGGTATGTATTGTTCAATAACAAGGGTTATATATATATAACTTAATCAGCTTACCACTTATATATATATATATATAGGGTATGTGGTAAGCTGATTAAGTTAAGTGATATTTTGACCACTTTTGGCTATTTTTCTTTTGTTTATTTAATGTTTATAATTGTTTTATAAAAGCCTAGCCCATTACATAACCAGCACCACACAAATCCACATTTAAAACTTCGTACAAAATTATAAAAATTACAGCCAAAAATTTAAAACTTTTTATTCAGAATTTTAAGAAAAATTTTGGAGGATGGTTCCGTGGGCAGAAGTCCAGGAAGATGGGAAAAACTTTTGACTACCTGAGAGCGGCCAGATATGAATCTTGTGCGTACGGTTCAAATCGCAGCTCACAACATCCGGATATTTATATCCACGTATCCTCTGGGTAGCGACGAAACACCCGTTTGGGAGCGAGCTAAAGTGGGAAGGCGTAAAACTTCGCGTGCGCTGGGTTTAGGTCCCGCCCCGTTAAAACCCCGCCCAATGGAAAACAACAAACAGCGTCGAATGAGACCCCCTTATTCTGATGATTACCACGGCAAACGTATTAAGGACTATGATTTGAGGATTTTCAACTGGAATATCACCTGGAATGCCTCTGCCCGGCTGGTTGATGTCATCGGGAAGACTATGGCTGACATCACCGTCATCCAAGAAATGCGATGGACGGAGCAAGGCAAGGTAAGCGTGGAGCCTTGCGACCAGTGTTGCCGTTTTAGCCCTTTGGTGGCTAGATTTAGCTACCATATATTTTTTTTGGCCACATAAATTTAAAATTGCCCCTAGCCCTTTTTTTAGCCCTTTTTAGAATTTATTCATACTTGGCATGAAAAAGTTGTATATGCTTAATTTGGTTTTTTTTTGCATTTATGTAAGAGATGAATTTTTAAACTAAGAAAGACTGATATATATACATATATGTATTGTATGCTCCTTATGCTTTTATCCATACATACTGTAAATGTGTTGGGGCTGTTAACTTTTCTGTTAACGATTTAACTATAGTTTAAAATAGATAAGTTCACGGCCCTTAATATGCTAAATTTGTTAAACGACCCATCAAGTCGATTGACCGTGTATGTTCTTGTGGTGTGATTGTACCAGCATACTGGTGTCGTGAGTGGTGAAATTAGCTAAATTTTCTAAGTAAAAAGTATTTTGGCGGATATTTCTTGCACTATATGAGTCAAAGCCGTGTTTGTGGAAGATAACGTTCACGATATTGCAGTTGTGAATTACAAAGAAAACAATGCTTAACAAAATGCTAGAATAATTATGAAATTTCGCCTCTAATCATTTCGATCCTTCCTCGACCTCATTTTTAAAGAAATAAATATTGTACCATCATGCTTACGGTGACCATCCGTCCTTTATTTTGGCAAAAATTATAAAGGACAGGGGGTTAAAATAAAGGACTGTCCTTTAAAATAAAGGACGGATGGTCACCGTAAGCATGATGGTACAATATTTATTTCTTTAAAAATGAGGTCGAGGAAAGATCGAAATGATTAGAGGCGAAATTTCATAATTATTCTAGCATTTTGTTAAGCATTGTTTTCTTTGTAAGGGTCTGGTACGATAAGTCGAAATTTAAAATGTCGAAAAAAAAAATTTCGAAACAAAAAATGTCGAAATAATGTAATGAATGACGTGTGAAATTCGCGACCAAGAATGTCGAAAAAAAAAATTCGAAAAAAAAAATGTCGAAACAAAAAATGTCGAAATAATGTAATGAATGACGTGTGAAATTCGCGCGAATTTCACACGTCTTTCATTACATTATTTCGACAGGTTAATTAAATAAAATTATGTATTGCATATGTATGTACATACTTATGTAGATATTGCTGTTCTGAATTCTATTCTCTAAAACCGCCTTGGTACCTGTAAACCTATCCACAACAAATCTTTTAGCTCCTATAAATGCGAGTAACTAGAATGCTCTTATTCTCTCTTCTCTTTTATTGTTTAGCTCAAGGCGAATTCGAAGAAAGCAATAACTTAATATACGTGAATTTTGTTTTCAGGCTATCGCTATTACCTTGTACGCTTTTCTTTGGTTTAGCTCAATGATATAACGGTAACTCTCTTAAAATCAACCAAAATTCACGATGTTGATATTGGGATTCTTGCAATTCCATTATTAGTCAGTGTCAATTGTAACTATAAGCACAACTTGGAGTCCGAGAATGTCTGCGGAAATTGTTACTTCAAATAAAGGAAAAAATAAACTGGTTCTTGGTGGTTTTATTTATCCCTTGGAAAAACAATATAAAAATATGTTTTATTGGAAGTGCGAAAAAAAAACTAAATTACAGTGCAAAGCTAGAGTGGTTACAGTGATTTACCATAATGAACACCAAGTAAAAAAAACTTCTTTTGAACACTGTCATGATCCACTTGAATATGAGCATGAAATATATAAAACAAATGCCAATCTAAAACTTCGTGCAGAAAAAACTAATGAAAAACCATCACAAATAATTAACTCCGCAGTTGTGCAGTGTAACCGTGAGTGTAGAACGTACGTACCAAAACCTAGAAATTGTTTGCAAAAGATTAAAAGAGTGAGAAATAATATGTTAAAAGAGCCTAAGAGTTTACATGAAATAACTGTTCCAGAACATCTTCAAACCGTGGAAGGCGAAAATTTTTTGTTATCTGATAAAAGTTTTGAAAACGAAAAGATTTTAATCTTTGGAAGTGTAGCGAACTTAAAAATTTTAGAAAAATCAAGTGTCTGGCTTATGGACGGTACATTTAAAATAGTACCGACAATAATGCGCCAACTTTTCACTATCCATGCATTTATAAATGAACAATTTGTCCCTGTCATTTATTGTATAATGAGCAGCAAGACAAAAAACTGTTATAATGAAGTATTTTATGAAATCTTTCAAATTGCCTGTGCCCATAATGTGAGTCTTAATCCTGGTGTTATTATTAGTGATTTCGAAAAAGCTATAATATCGGTAACAAAATCATACTTTCCCGATGTGGTGAATAAAGGTTGCTTCTTCCATTTTGGACAGATATTGTGGCGAAAGATTCAAAATCAGAAGCTTGCCTCGAAATACGGCAAAAACGAAAACTTTTCTATACAGTTAAGAATGCTTAAATGTTTAGCTTTTTTGAACTCTGAAGAAATATTGGATTATTATAATGAACTTAAACCGCACATGGATAGTGATTGCTCAGAAATTTTAAAATGGTTTGAAAAAAACTATCTGATTGGAACTTCCAGAAAACGGAAGTCGTCTGAAGTCGACTCATCAGTTAATTTAATTTATCCACCATCGTTTTGGAAAATATCTGACCAAATGGGTACCAATGTTCCAACCACCCAGAATTCAGTGGAAGCATGGCACCGAAGAATGCAAATAATAATTGACAAGTCTCACGTGGGAGTGTATAAATTAATAAGTTATTTAAATGACGAATATATCGATTGTTAAAAATAAAATGAATTTAAATAATTCTGAAGGCGCCACTAAACCTAAATCAGCTTACCAAAAGAGAAGGAATAATATTCAAAATATCCTTAGTAAAAAAACCGAGTACTCTAAAATGGAGGTATTAAAAAATTTAGCGTATTCCACTTCCCTATGTTAACGTTTCTATTGATTTTTGTTAATTACATTTATACATCCTTATAAGTATGTATATATGGTGACGTGTCTTTAAAATATGTATGTATGTATAAGCAATAGTTTTTCATCTGTATGAATAATTATGTATAAATAAACTGAAAAATTACTGAAATATAAATGCTAATTTGAAAATAATAAAACTCATAATTTAATTTCAAGTCCCACTGTTTTACTTAAGATATGACAATTTCGACCTTTTTCGATCTTTTTTATCTTTTCGACATTTTTTTTCGACCAAATATGTCTTCGGTGTAATCAGGCTTTTAATTTTTCGACATTTTAGGTTTCGACATTTTTTTTTTCGACATATCGTATGGATCCCTAAAGGACGCCATTTGTCCTTTATTTCTTAAACTGTCCTTTAAATTAGCTTTGGATTTTGCAGAGGTAAATTTTTAAACATAGAATATGAAAAAATAAAAATGTCCATAATAAAACAGAATGAAAACCTTCGTCAGTTTGCTTCGCACCCCACTTAAGGGTCACGAATCCTTGATAATACTGATAAGGGGTAATTTATGTAATTGAAAAAAAATTAAAAAAAAAGAAAAATTAATATACTTTGAGTAAAATTATGGTAAAAAATTGTGGCAGCAAAGGATGGCGAAGTCCTTGATAAGGATTTGGTTTCATTTTTCGGAACCGGTTAAAATCCGGTTACAGCGCCTTTCGAGAAGAGGAACTTGTACAATTTAATAATATAATTAACTGGCAAATATTTGATCTATATTACCATCATACAAGTTGTAAGTTTGTATTCCAAAATCATTGGGAAAAATGTCATTTATTTTACGTTCGTTAATATGGTCACCGTAATCATGCTGGTAAGTTATATGCTTCGAGCCTGATGGCACAATCACTTGCTGGAACCAGCAAGCTGGTGTCGTATATTTCCCCTTTTATACAAAAAGGTTTTTGGTTGGATAAAATATTAGCTTTTTTCCAGAGTTCATTGTTTTTATATACCATTACTTATTGAAAATGTTTAGGTGTATACTTATATATGCATATGTAAATAAAAAATTTTAGCTACCATTTTTAGCCACAACGACTTTTTTTAGCTCTTTTTTAGCCCCTTTTTAAAGGAATTTAGCTACCACTAAAAATTATGCGCGGCAACACTGCTTGCGACGTCTACTACAGTTGCCACATAAAGGAGCGCAAATTCGGTGTTGGATTTGTGATGGGGGAGAGACTCCGTCGCCGAGTACTGGCGTTAACCCCAGTGGACCAACGTCTAGCCACAATCCGCATCAAAGCGAGATTCTTCAACA